GACATTAGAATCTATGTCGAAACGTCGCCTATAAAGAATAAAGAAGTTGTATATCCATAAAAATAGTCCTCATAACAACGACATTAGAATCTATGTCGAAACGTCGCCTATATAGAGTAAAGAAGTTGTATATCCATAAAAATAGGCCTCATTTTTCATCTACCCAACTTCTAGAATGCCAATCAAAGAAGACACACAATACGGTGATATAACGTCACATAATGTATTCATACACACAGATAATGTCACATAAGATAAAAGTATTCATACACGGGAGATAACACCGCCTAACGTAAAGGAATATATACTCAAGGGATAACGTCGCACAATGTATTTGTATATTTACGCGAACGTTAACGCCAGATAATGTGATGGGATCTGTACCTGAGGGATAACGTCACACAATGTATTGGTATTTATACACACAAATAACGTCATAAGGCATAAAGGTATTTAAACACCGTCACATGAGATAACGCCACTTAATGCAATTGGATCTCTACTCGAGGGATAACGTCGCACAATGTATTAGTATGTACACACGGAGATAACGTCACATTGCATAAACGTATTCATACAAGGGAAATAACGCCACATATTGTAAGGGGGCCTGTACTCGAAGAATAACGATGCACAATATACTGACATTTATACACGCAGATAACATCACACAGCATAAAGGTATTTATACACCGTCACGGGAGATAACAACACATAATGTAATGGGATGTCTACTCGAGGGACAACGTCGCAGAATGTATGGCATTGCGTATATATATAAACAATGATTATTTCACAAATTTGATGATATTGATTCACGAAAGATAACGTCACATCGGCATAATGGCATTTATACATGAGTTACATAATATATTGGTATTTATAGACTTGGATGTCATAATGAAATAGAATGTATACTTGGGGACGCCAGGTGATCCCACCAAGTTCATCTAGGGATTCTGTTGGCAAGAAACGTGATATTCTGAGGGATGTCCAGTATGATCAAGTCAGATGGCCGGGCTCGCCAAGACATAACTTTGACATTGTTGGCCTGAAGAAACCCGCACAATATGTGTTGTTGTTGTTTTTTTTGTGATCGGACGTTATGCACACAACCTGGCCATTGCAGGGTTGTACATTGAGATGTGAACAGAACACGACTGGTTCATCTGACCGCAGATCCCGTCTCAAGTGTGTACGGGATGTCTTGAAAGGAGCAACGTGTCAATCGTTCACATTTTTGTCGACGGAATGTGTGGTATGGGTGATTGTAAATTGTGGGACCATGTTTGCCAGCCAGTCCACTGTTCGCATGTTCGGTTGAAGCGACCGTCAACATGGGTGTTGTAACGAGGGTACAACTGGACTTCTGGCTATCATTGTGAATTTCTGAAACATGTGGCATCAAATAGTGTAATACGCTTGTTTTGTACATTAATGTAGGCTGCACGTGCAGCAAATCGTTCGACTAAAACTTCAATAATTTACACGGACCAAAGGCATGAGTTTCTGATCCATTAATGTAAGTTGTTGATTAATTTCGATTAAAAGTAAAGCCAGAAAACCTTACAATAGTCATAAGAACTATTCCAACTTATATCATGAGCATGAATATAATGGAAGAATCATGATACCGGGTGTTGGCGAAGTGTGTTCGTAGCCTATCCTACTGCTGGGCTCTGTCACAAGCACTTGCAAAATCAAGGCAGTTGTTCAAATGAAAAAACGTTAGTCAAAAATAGTGAAATGCATCGGATATCACGTTTGACACTCTTTCGTAAACTTTAGTAGTGGGGAAGCAAATCTTCGCTGGATGGGAGTGCTTGAATGTACCTCAAATTAGGGAAACGTAGACAATAAGGGGGGAACATACTTGTATACTGCACGATTATCTGAAAGAACGTGTGGATGTAAATAAGAAGAAGAAGTCTAGGGCGTCTCGCAGGCTAAAGACGCTCAGTGGTTCCACCCTGTCAGAAGTACAGACCGTGGGAGTACGTCAATTTTAGATGTGGTTTAGGTCCCATCACCAATTATTCAGATCGAAAAGGTGATATCATGCGCACAGACTGCATTTTATTTTAAGCATTCCGTGGCAAACCTAGAGTACTAGTAGAAGTTTAAACGGGCTGGCGTCGTACCGCCATGGAATGATGAGTGCCATAATTATTATGTTTGGCTGCTCTCTTGATTTCAATCTTATTTCTATGGGTGTCAAAACAGCCTCACATGAGAGGATTTGTGTGGTTCCCTCAGTGTCTATACAACCGTGTCTGTTTGAGTTGGGTACGTTTCAACATGTGCGCTTCTACATGTGCGAGTCATTTTCCTGTTTTCCCTTATGCTATGTGTTCCCTTGCTCTTTCAAGTCTAAACCTGTATATTTCAGTATGACGTCGCTGAATACGTTCACCTTTGGCACATAACTGATACTGATTCATACACAATACATAACTGTGCAAGGGAGATCTTATGATGATGAAAAAAGCTTTTGTGCCTTTATTCATATCCTAGGTATATAGATTGTTGCATAAGTTGATCATCACCCAAAAGCCAGAGGGCACGAAGAAGGACGGTAATGAACCGCAAGGAGGTGAATCAAATTGTCGAGTGCATTGCCTTCAACTTTATGCTTTCCCGTCTCGGTGGATCCGATACTTAGAGAATGGGGTCTGTGTGTCCTTCATAGAAGCGTAAGCTACACATGATACACAGCTCAGTAGAAACGCCAGGGACTGATATTTGAGGAATGAATGTGCCATCAGTTTTCCAAGCATCAAGTTTTTTATCAGCAATCTACAACATCACTCTCAACTTTCGATAGTCATGAATATCTGACACATACAAGTTGTATCTGATGATACATGTGACAATTACTTACATTTACTTATATATATTGTGTTTCACAGGCTGGCCACAATCATGGTATATTGACACCATAGTGACGAAAACATACGTTTCCTACATCAAAATAACTCGAGGTGGAGTCCCTGTTCTCACAAATACAGTCATATTCATTGCGTCTAATTTGATTTTCATTTATTTACCAACGCTAGGCTAAAAATGACGGTATAAATACTGGCGTCTGGGCCCAATGCGACTGGGTACAGTCTATATCTCATCGTGATCCTATTGCCCAGGATAATGACACAAAAGCATTTCACACTCCCTTGAAAAGAGGATCGGGTTACAGGAAAGGCGCGGTTTATCACCAGTATCTGCTCATTGTTATCAAATCGCCTGTTTCGTTTGATGTTGTATATTGACGTCCCTAACGTATCATTTGGCGGTGCGATTGATGGCTTCTCTTCGCCGACCTGCACTTAACTGAGAGCGGTGCCGTGTCATTATTTTACAAGCCTTATCTGAACTAATTGGAGTTGGGTTTCCAGGTGAAATCATTCTTTGACCACTTAAGGATCCAATTTTGATGTTTACCGTTATTCCCTGAAATCGCACATATACGACGTGATCTTGGCCTGAGCAAATTTATTGACAGATGTTTAATGATCATCTGAAAATGTGAAACCATTGTACAGGAATAATGGCGAAAAGTATGGCATCATGATAATTAGTTGACGGTGATTACCCATTGATATTGCCATTACTGCGTAATGCGAACGAATCAGTAATGAGAACGAGAACATGTACTTGTTTCATTATTTGTCAGTCAATACGTGCTTTATTACACGAAAGTATAGATGTATTCATACATGACTTAGGAAGAGAGAAGGTGAAATAGGGAGTCCGCAAAACACTTATGTAAATGTATAGGGTAACATATAGGTTAATTAATGTATTCCAAGGCAACGGTACACACTGATCGCCGAACCTTTCTGAAGCCATGCGAGCATGATGATGTCTACAATACAAATGGTAACCTAAACATATATTAGCAATAAGTAACACAAATACGCGCATCAGTATAAATGTCAGTAGCTGCGACTTAATAACTGAATATATTGCCAGATAGCTACGCACCAAATATGTTATCACCGATCGACGACATGAGTCTGTTCTTTCAGAAATTATAAATATCTGACACAGACGATTTGCGTCAAAGGATATAAGTCATAGCTTTGAATTAGGACGGTTTGAAAGCTTATACATAAATCGTAAGTCCTAAATATATCGTTCGTTTATACATTAACTTAAAACTTCGAAAGTCAATTTAAACTTACCAGGATTTTTAAACGTAGCATTTTTGTCATTTTAATTGTAGCTAACATTTCTTACAATCGCCAGCAGCTGAAGGGATGGTGTAAATCCAACTAGGGTCCATGCAGGTAGCCAAGGTACTGTAAGTCCCCATGGTCCCTAGTATGGTGATCGACCTTCAGTTGTTGGCGATCTATAGCCTGTTTTTATCTTGTATTGTCCTAATAGTGCTATTAGTTTTAACCTTCCACACTAGTTTTAAATCCAAGTGTGATATTCTAGTTGTTTTACTGTCCTTCGATGACAGGTTTTATAATATATACATATTCCATTACAATGTCAAATGTTCTCGTCACGATATGGCTGAAATATTGTCGATGTGACGTTAAATAATAACTCACTCACTCACATTAACTTAAAACCAAACTGTCACAAGCACGCGCACTTGGAAATTTGGTTAAGTAAATCATGTGTACATACACTTGAATGCCTAATCCTACAACTATTGTATCAGTGTGTATGCTTTTCCCTCTCCTTGGCATCTGTTTGCCCAAGACAATCCACACTTCCCAAGTGCTACTTCAAGACACAACACTGTCAAATAATGGACGATATGAGAAGGCAGTTAATTATTTAGCGTCTATTGTTTGCTTCATATTCCTGAGTTCTCGTTCAGTGTGCAGCATTCCAACACAACACAAACGGACTTCCCATACGATAGTTAACCTTGTTGACACAGAGTCAATATGGCCTCTTGTCTTTAGTAAATCGTTAATCCACCGGACAGCTGTAATATTCAAGAATACAAATGTCGAATGAGATGGTGTTTTGTTTTCTTTCAGGTGAAGGTTGGCAAGTCTGATGTTACGTCTGTAGCAGTGAAGAGATCCTTCGATTCAATCAACAGGGGCAGTGGCTTAAGTGGCTTCATGAAGCGTGGATTCGATAAGATATCTCACAGCAGTGGGTTTTCGGCCTTCAACAAACGACCCTTTGATTCAATATCCGGTTCAAGTGCTTTCTCTGACTTCGCTAAGAGACCGTTTGACTCCATTGCTTCTGGTGGAGGAATGGCAGGTTTTGCTAAGCGTCCATTAGATTCAATTTCTGCCGGAAGTGGGCTATCCGGATTTGCCAAACGTCCCTTTGATTCCATAGCAGCTGGTAGTGGTATATCGGGGTTTGCAAAGCGATCCTTTGACTCCATAAATGCGGGCAGTGGACTGTCGGGATTTGCCAAGCGTCGATTCGACAAAATCGGGGGTGGAACTGGAATTTCGGGATTTGCTAAACGACCGTTCGACTCCATTGCATCTGGTAGAGGTATGTCTGGATTTGCTAAGCGTCCCTTCGACTCTATCGCAGCAGGAAGCGATCTCTCCGGTTTCGCTAAGAGACCATTTGACTCCATTGCCTCCGGGAGAGGTATGGCAGGATTTGCAAAACGTCCTTTCGACTCAATTTCGTCAGGAGGCGGTATGGCTGGCTTTGCGAAGAGGCCGTTTGATTCCATCAGCGCCGGAAGTGGGATGTCAGGGTTTGTCAAGAAATCTTTCGATAAAATTGCCCATGGAGGTTTCGCATCTTTCAACAAAAAGTCAGACAGTGAGGTAGAAAAACGACCATTCGATTCAATCAGTCAGGGTGCTGGAATGGCAGGCTTTGCCAAACGACCATTCGATTCGATTGGTTCTGGAGGCTTCTCCACTTTCGTCAAGAAAGGCCTGGACTCAATTTCACACTTCAGTGACATGGATGACTTCGGCAAGAGGTCTGTGGATAATGCTGTCGAATCTGAGAGTGATGAACGAAAATGAAAGTTGAACAACAATAAAGACACATGCAAGGCTAACATGATCGTCCAGAAAAGAGTATGCATATCAAAACGTTACTTTCGCACTGAAACCTTTAACTCCTTCTGACATATATGATATGAAGAAGCCATTAATGACAGTGGCCCTACATTTTGTACATGAAATTCAAGTTCACATCCAATTTGAGAAAGAATGCTTGTGTATCCTATTGACTGCGTGCATACTAAAAGGTATTACACATACATGTACTAGGTCTGACATACAAATCAAACCACTGTAACTGTTGACACACGAATAATGTTTCTATGAAGTGTACCATTAAGACGCTTAACACTTTGTATACAAACAGCCTTAATCTTTTTGAAAGAGTTTATATCAAAATTTAAAGGAATATATTTTGTGTTGTTAGATATTTATTTGTTATGAACCGCTTCGGCAATAAAGAGTTGAAGAGTGCCTAAGTTTCATCTTGTTGATCAATGTTTTGTTTTTATTACGTCAGTTCTTGAGGCTAAACGTTCCGCCCATGGAATGCGTCTTGAAATTGCTTAAACCCCTCCCCAGCCAGCCATTAGCAGCCGAAGATTGTTATGGCCTCCATCGTTCGTGGGGCGGAATAACGACAAGGAGTGTTTTGCATCTCATTAGACCAAGCGGTATCTCTGATGTGAGCTGAGGTAGAGGTGAGTGAGGTTTCACGACTATAATACCCCCATTATAACACACCGTATCATATCGATCTGGGAGGAGACTTCACAATGCATGTTGTAGGTTTTAGACACTTGATTAAAAACTTGGCCCACGTTACCCACCTGGACCACCTTACCAACCTGGCCCACCTGATACACATTATCCGCCATACGCAAATTAACCACCACTCTGGCTCATCTTTCCCACCTAGTCCACCTGGCCCGTCCGTCCTACCTGCCTCTCCTGGACTACCTTGTCCAACTGATTCACCTGACCCACCTGGACCACCTGACCCACCAGGACCACCTGACCTTTCTGGCTCATCTGTCTCACCTGACCCGTCCACCCTACCTGACTCTCCTCGACTACCTTGTCCACCTGATTCGCCTGACCCATCTGTCCCACCTGACCCACCTGACCCTTCTGGCTTATCTATCTCACCTGGCCCGTCTGGCTCATCTAACTCACCTGACCCGTCCATCCTACCTAACTCTCCTCGACCACCTTGCCCACCTGATTCACTTCACCCATCTGACCCAGCTAGACCACGTGACCCATACAACCTACCAGACTCTCCTGGACCACTTTGCCCACCTGATTCACCCGACCCGTCTGACCCAGCTGGACCAATGACCCGTACAATCTACCAGACTCTCCTGTCCCAACTGGCCCACCTGACTCTTCTGGCACATCTGACCTACCTTGCGCACCTCACCTACCTGAACCACATGACCCACCTAAATCACCTGGGCCGTCTCACCCAGAGAGAGTATTTACATAGAAAATCAGCAATGTACCTGATAGGTTGTTTTTGAGCTGGACAGACGAAAACTTTACACACAAAGCACAAGCGATTTAGAAAGTCTGATTGTATTTTGAACCTATTTAACATCATCCAATATAGCACATATATTTAGCATTTTTCCCCTTCGGCAAGCGTACTGATGATTACAATTACCTTGGCATGCCGTGAAATCTGCCCAAAAAACTGTGGACACAAGTGACATATAAGCCAGACAATCAGCGGCCTACCATCCCCACTCAATGCAGTCTTAAAAAGTGGCGAAGTCAGAAACACACCTCTATTCATCGTTCTGGATGCTTAATTGTGCTACCTCACAGTGTGACGTTGCTCATGGATTCAAATTCCATAGGAACACAGCTTGTCACTTATGGCGACGTTTATAGCAAAACAATCACGTTATAGATAGTCCCCGTAGCGGCCGCCCACCAGTAATGGCCCCAAAACTGATGGATTCGAACCACACACCTCCAACACGGTTCCAACCAGAGACGTCAGACGCTCGGTGTGTGGGTGCATTCAATGACTCAGCGATCAGCTGACCCTTTCGAGTTTTCTTCGCAGGAGGTCGACCATTCATTGCCGTGAATGCTGACCAAATGCTTTAGGTAAAATATGTTTACATTGCGATTTATTGTGTTGTGAACAGAACATTTTGCGGAGGCATGTGGAGTTCCGGCAAAGCGATACTTTCACTGCAGTGCAGACATCAAATTCTTGTCACTGCAGCGAAATATGACTTTTCACAAACTCAGAAATGTCTTCAACACTTATATAAATGATAAATTGAGATCTTTAAGTACAAGGATTAGGTGGTTATGTATATGGGTGCCATTTTACAAATGGAGAACAGAAACACAGAACGTAATTACATACTATTGTATATACATTTCTGATGTAAACATGGGGGCCAGTAGCAGCGGCACCATCAGTTTATCCAGGATGGCGGCTGGTATGTACTGAAATAGTTTAACGTTCTCTACACTTTCTCACATCATTTACTGTGGGATAAATGTACCTGGTAAAGTATTTCACTTCAACAAACATTTTGAATAACGGGCAAATTGATAAAAAGTTGAACGCGAAATCAAAAGAAATCAGTTGGAATGGTGCGCTATTTGTTTATTCAAAGCATATATACGTAGTTTGCATAGCCCACAAGGTCATAAATACAAGTGTCCTTAGGATGCGAAGCCATACTTGGTATCTATCGGGGACATATTTCGATTAGGACATAGTATTTGTCATTACTTACGATAATATTTGCTTCCTGCAGTTTCAGAGTCTAAGCGAAATCAGTTGGATGAAAGTACATTCCTTACCAGGAAAACGGATGTACTGGTATTCTGTATTCAAGCCACCTCAAGACATAAATTTCAGCGACATGCCATTGATGTCATTGTGGGTGACGTCATTGTAAGCGTTGTTACTCCCTTTTACCATAACAGAGAGCACCACCCGCGACCTGTCTTGTAATTGCAATTCTACAGGTTGCTTGGAAAAATGTATCCAGCTTTGCATCCTGCGATAAAGTTAACTTTTTATGTTCATAATTGGCTGACGTCATGACGTCGATCACATTATCTACCACGTGATCTACCCTATCCTTGCTGACTGTCTTGTCAGTCAAGATAGCGCACCCATGCCGCTGATATGTCCCAAACATCCCCATGTTACCGAGTGATTCCACAGAGGTCATGTTGATGTGGGAGGGGGATCTCGATGCCCAGGGACGTATGTCTACCTGGGAAACTGAAGCAAAGTAATTAAAAATACTATTCGTTGTGAAACTTACAGTTCATCCCAAATGACAGGTTCAATTTCCCTGATCCACAACCTTAAAATTCCGTGTTGCTAACAGCGGTATTAAACTATACTCCACTCACGTTTGCTGCATTGGATTCAGGATCATCACATCAACCTTTTTGATTATGTTGCATAAGTATTTAATAGCGTACTGAAAAGCCGGATAGTCTGCGGTGCTGGAATGTGCTGCGCAGTGTTGCGTCATTTGGCCACGCCAAATAGCGATCTGCCTTAACGTAAAATGGAGGCAAATAGGTGAAGCAGCTCTCTAGTTAGTTTTAAATCTTCGTTTTTGTCGTGCTTGCAAATCTTCACTCTAAGAAGCATTGCTGAAAGATCAAAGATGTGGACAGTACTTGGTCATTCGATAAAGCTCGGGTTTTGCGTTACGTCATAATGACCTAACATCATTGCGTTCATCAAAAACATGCTCCCCAGATCTGACTGATCTTGGTTTATTTAGTTAACATTCTATCATTTCTCTCAATCAGTATCTGCCTCTATGTCAATCATATCGATAGATGAATTAGTTGGATGAAAGTAAAGATGAATAAAACCCAGTGATGTTCGAAACTTCTCCCTTGTTGAACAAAGTCAAATATTGCCTGCAGTGTTCCCTCGCTTAGACTTTCATAGTTAAGAGCAAATCGCTACTGTACTACACCACACATGGGCAGTGAACAAACCTACATTATTTCTTCATTAAATCACTTTCGGTGAAACATAACGCCGTAATTTCCACTGTATATTTTATAGTTTTTGTTTTCGACGATACCAGCAGAGATCTGATATCAAACAAATTTAAAACTGATATGTATACTGATGTCATAAATTAATCCAATTCATTTGATACCCACACAACGTGTAAACATGACAAGCTGCCCTTCATTCACACAACTGGCGAAGGGAATGCTACATTTCGATGAAAGTAAACATGAATGTGTCTTCTTACGATCAAAAGCATGCTGTACAATGTATAAAAAGAAGTCTCATATTCGCAAGGATAAATGTATTTTCTATCATAACCTTTAAGCAAACTGGCACTCGCTAAATTAATTTCCTCTTAGCCTGTCTCCCGTTGGAAGGAGTGAATGGGTTATATTGTATGCCATCTTTGAAGTGGTCAAACAATGTTTGAGAATTAACACAACATATTGTGCCTTCCCTTGGAACAAACAGTCAACGCCAGCGTCGTCTCTCACTAAGATGCCATGCAACAAAAGGCCTTGTAATGTTGCTTTTTCCCCCTGAAGTTCGAAATGTGTCTACTTTTTTCATGTGTCGATATATTTGGAAATATTTTGGGATGCTTTCGTTGCATTTAGAAATGGTAATATTGATTAGTGTGCCAGTGAAACACGCACTTTACCGTGCCATGTTAAATGAGTTTTAAATGATGATCGTAAATGTGTGATTTAAAAACTATTAGTATTTAATATGTGCTGATATGTTAGGAAGTTTAGTATGTTTCTGTGTATATATAGCTGGAGAAGCTTATTTCAGCTGCGGCATGTATACATGATCCAGCAATTAGTTAAGAAACAATTGGTCTGCACGGTAACAAATCGACATTAGTGTGAACTCCCTAATATATTCCCTCGCTCTATGCAAACACAATCCATCTCAGTTACATACAATCGTGTTTGCGATATCCTTTATCTCATTGTATAAAATGTGCTTATGATACATTTGGGTGTATATACACTCAGGCGATAGTTTATACGCTCCCTACATTATCTTGTTGACGTTATCGCTAAATTCAGTTAAAAGTGTAAATACAACGTTATATCACGCATCAAGTCCGCATTTTAGTTGCAATATGAAATAGATCTGCATGTGTTTATCTGTTTTCTCCCTGTGTTGAATAATGTATAAGGTAGTGATGACTGTAAAGTAGGTTTTGTCTGTATTTCAGTCTCGATGTGTAATGTACAATATTCACCTGGCCTTTCTTCCACTTGTTGTCGCATCTCACTACGGGTCACACTGTGGTACATGATAATACATAATATATGATCCGGGTAAGAATTCTTCTTCAGCAGCCCATGCAAGCAACGGGATCAGGCTGACTGACGTGGTAGGCACGTGACATCGTATACCAATTGCGTAGAACGATGTTCATGGTGTTGATCACTAGATTGTCTGTTCCAAACAGATC